AACTTTTAAATACTTTTTAAAAGTCATAACTGAATACCAGCAAACTTTTGAATACTTTTTAAAAGTCACAATTGAATATCACTAGACTTTTATATACTCTTTAAAAGTTTAAATTGAATACTTCCAGACTTTTAAACTCTATAAAAGTCATTAAAAGTTTGAATTGAATACACCCCCCTAAATAGCATACACAAAATCCCAGAATTTTTGGATAGTGGCTTTTTGGCCCTTTGTGGCTGTATTTTTTTTGGCTGAATTATGAATGCAATTCCAGAATTTTTCAAAAAAAAAGAAAAAAAGAAAGAAACAATAAAATAAAATCAAGAGTATAATAAGTTGAGTTTGTGAATGGTACTAAGAATATTAATATATGAATCAAGTTAAGACAGACAATTGACTATAAATACAATAAAACAAAAATTGAATATGATCATACAAAAATTCATAAGGTTTAATTTAATTTACGTTTACTATGCTATCGGAAGAATAAAATCTTGAATCTAGCAACCCCCCAGATAGTGAGTGAGTAAAATTGCTGAGCCAAAATCAAAAGAATGCTCAACCATCCCAAAAGGAATAGAAAGAGAAAAAAACAAACAACGAAAGTTTTGATACCTCTTCAAAAATCCAAACAATTTTTTCTCTTTATCCAAACTCGTACAAAAAAATGACGAAGAAGCTAAGGAAAACATCAGAGGATGAGAAGGAAACCACGCCAAACAAAAGACAAATGAAGAGCATGCACATCTAATTAATCTCAAAACCATTTTCAATTGACATATGTATTAGCTAATTTCTATATAGTTATGCCATCCTTTTCTGAAGTGATTCTAAATGAGAATGCAAAGCTGCAAATGCTTTTTTAACCTGTATGTATGAATTTGCTGTGAAAGTTGATTCACAGATTGGACAAAAGGCCTAAGGCCTACCGAATGCTTAGCGGCAGAGACAAAGTTAGCAGAAGCACATAGATGAGAAGAATCAGCGTGAAGGAGAGGGCAAATGTGAATCATATTTGGTCTACACACAGAATGTGAATCATATTTGGAGAACTTTTGACTACCAAGACCAAACACCAAATATCAAATCAAAGCCTTGGTTGCAAAATTTTCCAAAAGCTGCTTGTTGATTTTCCATGAAACAAACTCATCACGTACTTGCCATACTAAAAATGGTAACTAGTTACAATAATTTTCTAGCTAGCTAACACTGGGACCTACACCCATGTGACAATATATATAGACGCTGCACCCTCGATGTCAAAGATGCTTGCTTGCTGATTTTGCTGCAAACAAACTCAAGTACTTGCCATCTTAGCACTGTGGAACTCGTGACATTGTGCAGAACATGTGTCATTTTTGAACAGTTCAAAAGTTTAAAAAAGAAAAATACAAAAATTAATCCACAACAAATGATTGTGTGGGTGACGTGTTTTACTACATTAGCTAATTTAATCCTTATATTTTCAATTTAGCCAATTTAATCCTTGTGTTTACGACTGTTAAATCCATTCCGTTAAATTTCAGTTATATATATATATAATTATTTAAATATTCATAAAAAAAAAAAATTAAGAACTAAACAAAAATAGTAAAATCCGCCTCTCTCAGCCACCAGAACCCTTCTCTCTTCCCTCTTTCTCCTCAGCAACAACCCACAACCTTGTCCATCCCTACCCCAACCGCTTTCTCCCCACCCAACCCTAATGTATCCCACCCCTAATCTCTCTCTCTCTCTCTCTCTCCAAAAAAAAAAAAAAAAAAAAGAGGGCAT